CGCACAATCCACACTCACAACATTCCACACTCACAACATTACACACTCACAACATTCCACACTCACAACATTCTACACTCACAACATTCCACACTCACAACAATCTGCACTCGCAACAATCCACACTCACAACAATCTGCACTCTCAACAATCCACACTCACAACATTCCACACTCACAACAAATCCACACTCACAACATTCCACACTCACAGCAATCCACACTCACAACAAATCCACACTCACAACATTCCACATTTACAACAATCTGCACTCGCAACAATCCACACTCACAACAATCTGCACTCTCAACAATCCACACTCACAACATTCCACACTCACAACAAATCCACACTCACAACATTCCATACTCACAACAATCTGCACTAGCAACTATCCACACTCACAACATTCCACACTCACAACATTCCACACTCACAACAATCCACACATTCAACAATCCACAACGACAACATTCCACACTCACAACAAATCCACACTCACTACATTCCACACTCACAACAAATCCACACTCACAACATTCCACACTCACAACAGTCTGCACTCACAACAATCCACACTCACAACAAATCCACACTCACAACATTCCACACTCACAAAATTCCACACTCACAACCAATCCACACTCACAACATTTCACACTCACAACAAATCCACACTCACAACATTCCACACTCACAACAATCCACTCACTTTTATTGCAAAGTACATTTAATGTTTTTGGTTTTACTTGTGTTTTCTAATTGTTTGATTTCCTGTCCTTTTCGTTCAATACGACAACACGAGCGGTTAGTTAGTGTTTTTCAATCTTTGTCAATCTATAAAGTTTGCGTTGTTTAAATAAAAAATTGTTTTTTATTTTAAATAATGTTATAAATTTTTCAAAGAAAAAGTAGGATATTTGCACAGCTATTGCTCTTTACGTTGCTAATATTACGATTTTTTTGGCAATTTTAATTTTAAAATATTATATAATTAATTCTTTGCCTAACGTGCAATTTATATTATTTACTGTATGATTGCTACTAAAATTCAGTGGCGGATCCAGGTTATCTGTTAAGGGGGGCGAATTTTAGGTATCATTGGCAACCCACAACTTCCGACAAGGCGGGCAAGCCCACAAATCTAAAACGTTTAAATTATTTTTCACTTTGAATATTAATCTATGTGGCTAAGACATTATGTCATATTCGTCATTATATTTATTATTTTATGACGTTAAAAGTTGAAAGTTTTTGATGACATTGCATGCTTTCTTATAAACAGTAATAAACATAAAATAAAGAGTTGACAAAAATAAACTACAAATTCAAAAAAAATTCTCGCTAACTTTTGTAAGGGGCCAATCGCCCGCACATCGATCCGCCACTGCTACCTATCAAATTTCATTTTTTTAAAGTAAAATTTGTTTCTTATTTAATTTTTTCCCTATTTCTCTTTTTTCTTCCCTTTTTCAGTAGGACCCCTATGGATTCGCCACTGCTAAATTTACAGACATGCTATGACTGGTTTATTGATAATTACAATTACGACGGAAATGAACAGCCTCCGAATTCAAAAGTGTTACCAAGAGGTACAGCTAAAGGGAGAAGGCGGCAAAAATTTTAGTGCCTTGTGCCGTTTTTGCCTTACTAAAAACCGCCGAGTATGCACCAATTTAATTTCGACTTCAAATTTTCTGAATCTTATAAATAAAAGTAAACAAGTTGTAAAGTTGTATAAAAAAATTTTAATTGAAAATTGATTATGAATAATATCAAAAGGGAGTGAGTGCTCTCAGTACCATTGTCATCTCTTTTTTTGACTAAATACACAAAATTATACAAATAATACAGTGCAGTGACAATCATATTTACAGGACTGCGTTGTTTTTAGGCCATTTAAATATAGCTTAAAAAACCTTTTAATCTGTTTATCATAGAATATTTTTAAAATATAAATTTCTAAACATGATAAAAATTTCTAACATTTTATTCATTCATTTTTAAAGGGATTTTAATTTATCTATGCTAACTTTATATGACCTTTTGTTTTGTTTTCTGATTGGCTATTATTATGTTTTATTTATATAGTATATTTCTTTAAAAATAGTTTCCTAAATATTATACTGAATGTAAACACACAAGACAGTTGTTTACTCTTATTTGCTTAATTTTTTTCCAACGATTTATTATTTGAATCATTATATTTTATTTTTTCATATCTTTCATCCTTCTTTTTGAGTCTTCTTAATTTTTTATTAATACGTTATTTTAATTATCACATTTAATCATTAGTTATTATATTCACTTTTTTGATTCATGGGCAACAAAAAAATTATTTTTTTTTTGTATCTTCAACTTCTTTATTTAAATTAAACTAATTTTAGGCTGAAAAAAACAAAAATAATTGATTAGCTCTAGTTTATAAGATATACAACAACAAAAAATTTTTTCCGTTTATTGTCAACACAGCAATATAAAACATAATTAACTTTTTTAATAATATTTAAAGTGCATTTATATTGTAAAAGTTTTAAACAATGAAAATTAATAAATATAAAGATCATTATAGAATATTTTCACGCAGTCCTGTTCTTTTTGCTTTCCGTCTGTATGCGAACTCTTGAGCATCCCACATATAAGCCAACAGTAATCTGCAAGCATAGTTTCATTTAAACGTCCCTGATAAATTTTTCCCATTACAGAAATATTTTGGTGGAACCTTTCCCCATGTTCATCACTAACAGTTCCACAACTAGGGGGGAAAATGTCTAAATGGGAGTGGAGGAAGTGAATCTTCATGGACATGTTACATCCAAGTTAATGGTTTTTTTTGCAGAAGTTCCGTTAACAATTGGATGTAGTTATCTCTTCTGTTGCCTAAAAATCTACGAATCCCTTCCTTGAAAGATTCATTAGCATCTTTTTCTTGCCACTTCGAAACTTTTATCAAATGCAGGATCTTTCACAAGTTCACGTATCTGTGGTCCAACAAAAAAACCCTCTTTAACTTTAGCATCACTTAGCTCTGGAAATTTATTTTTTGAATACTTGAAAGCTTCCTTCTTTGTTCAACCTTCGACAAAATTTTTCATTTAACCTAGCTTAAAGTGTAAGGGTGGAAGAAGTACATCTTTTGGATCTACGAGTGGTTCAGCAACAACATTTTTTTCATCTTTGTTGAGATTTCTTGCAGGCCAATCCTTTTTTGTGTATATTAATTATAATTATTGTTTTTACAAATGTCTTTAGAGCGTCATTAACTAATTGACACGCAATGCTCTTATTATTTGTTTTTCCGATTTTCAGCTTTCTAATGGTTTTTAATTGATAGTGATCTGTTTTTTTTGTTCTTTGTATTTCCAATTGCATTTGACATTGTTACTTTATTTTGGGATTTTAAAGGGAATGATTAAATTATCTTTTTCGACTCCCATTTTATGCACCATGTTGTGTGTGTGAATAAATAAATTTAATATTTGTTTTTAGGAACATCATGGACAGCAGTATCAAAAGTATGATCCAACTAAGAATCAATCAAATCAACAAGCTTTTACCTGTGAAACTGAGTCTAATCAGTATTCTATTTGTCAAGCCACTGTATCTAAATCGTTTAACAAATGTGCAACAGTAGCAAAATTGACAGTTTGAATTTGAAGACAACCTTACTCGAATGTTGGTACAAGATATGAACCATTAGCAATCGTGTAAAGAAAGGGCTAAAGTTCTGCTTCACTTCAAAATGCCCAGTGGCAGGACAATGGGGAGACGTCTAAATGCTCTTTATGAAGCTGAGAAAGAAAGAATAAATAGGTCAAATGTATGTATTTGATTTTTCTACTGTGCTACTTTTGTGCTACTGGCTTTCATGAACTTTACTATTAGAAAGACTTATTTTTGTCTTCTCCTTTATATTTAAATTTATTTCTTTGAGTTATTTTGAAGTAATAACTGTAAATAACATGGCTTGTGTTAATGCTGACTCAGAATTCTGCCTGTCAAAAAGTGGATTTTTTCAGTTTAGTTAACTATTTTCAAAAATAAGTTCACAACGAATAATTAAACTATTTATTTTTAGTTGCAAAATAGTTTATATACAAATATCTAGTTAGTTGCCTAACGCTGATGTTATTTTGTGTATTTTAAAGCTTATTGTTTTGTTTATTATGTTAATTTTTATGTAAATTATTATGCGTATTGTTGTATACATTTAAATGATATTTTAACGATTTTAAATTTTTTAATTCATGAAAAATTAAACCTGACTTGAGTTTTTTAAATAGCGAAGGCAACTGTTTTGAACAAGTCTAATTGCGGCTGTGTACAGCATGAATTTACTTTTTTCTCAAACGTTTTCCTCACATTTTATCATTCTGATCATAAACCATGAAAATGTACCTAACACGTCACGGATGCACGTGCGGTGCTGTGCACGTGTTCACAGAGTTGCTTAAGTTGCTATCTTCATTCGCAGCTTCATTCACATCAAGTTAACAACATTTCCATGTAAGTGATTCAGCTATTAAGTCAATTTGTATAAAAATTCTATCTTATTGACTTTTTTTCAATCAATCCATCAATCAGTCAACAAACGAACCAGCCAACCAATCAATCAAACAAACAATCAAACAACCGATCAACTAACCATTGTTGCTTCTTCATTATTTCTTCAACGTGCTTTTTGTTTGAGTTCCACAATTATCGACTAATTGTTCATTTGTTGAATAATTTGTTCGTTAATTATTCATTTGTTTTTTATTCGATCCTTAATTCTTCCACTTAAATTGATTTATTTTTTGGCCATTCTCTGTTCGTTTATTTTTTGGTTTTAATTATGAGTTGGTTTATTTGTGAGCTCTTTATTTAATTATTTCAATATATTGAGGCGTCGTTATATTAGTCCCTGTCTCTTGGGAAATTTTCTTCCATTCTTTTCATCATTTTTATGCTTATTTAATTTATCTGCCTACATCTTAAGGCGGTTTGTAATTCAATGTCTATTTGCATATAATTGTGTTCCACTTCTATTCTTTTCAACCTATCATCTTTAAACATTCATCTATCTTTTCTTTAATCTTTAAAGTTCAAACATTCAACAGATCATATTCTCATTCTTTAAAGTTTAAACATTCAACTGATAATTTCGTTTTTTATAAAGTTTAAACATTCTTGGTTCTTTAAAGTTTAAACATTTAACTCTTTCTCATTTAAATAAAATTGGACGTTCAACTGACCCTAACCCTCCTTCTTTATAGTTTAAACTTTGACTGATCATTCTCTCATTCTTTAAAGATTAAACGTTTAACTGATCATTTTCTTTTTCTCTAAAATTTACACACTCAACTACCTTTTCCTCATGTTTTAAAAGTTTAAACAGACAACTGATCATACCTTTATTCTTTAATGTTTAAACATTTAACTGATCATACCTTCATTCTTTGAAATTTAAACATTCAAATAAACATTTGTTTATTTGAAGTTTTTTAAAGTTTAAACATTTAGCTATCTTCCTCTATTTTTTAAAGTTTGAACATTTAACTGATCATACCCCTATTCTTTGAAATTTAAACATTCAAATGATCATTTCCTCATTCTTAAAAGTTTAAACATTCAACTGATCATTTTCTCAGTTTTAAAGTTTAAAAATTCAACTGATCATACCTTAATTCTTTAAAGTTTAAACATTCAACTGATCATTCTCTCAACAAACGCAAAAGACAGAGAGTAACCTTTA